TACTTCAGTCTATTTTAATGGCCTCCAGCACCTCTTCATCTATTGAAGCTCGGTCCCAAGTCTTCCAGACTGAGTTTGAAGACATTTGCCGAGAAATCCAGGGCTCGGGCCTACCTAACATCGTCACGCCCTGGACTGATGATGACGGTGCCGCCACCGATTCCTACGTCCTCGGCCCCTCTGTAGATGGCGGGATGCCAGAGAGGCTAGTGGCTCCTTTGAAGAACAATCTGGTGGACCTCTCGGCCTTTGACGTGGGGGACTTCCAAGATTGGAATGTCGCCAGGCCGCAGCCCCAATGGCCAACCTTGACCCCAGACTGGGAAAAATGGCTGCCGAGGATAGAGCACTTCTTCGGCCAGCAATGGAAGGATCAAGGCATCTACCACTTGATCACACTGTTCGATCGGCCGCTCGTCATGGACCGGTCGCTCTTGGCCGCGGCCCTATGCTCCTGGTCGTCGGCCACAAATACTATGAACCTTCGGTTTGGCATGATGACGCCGACCGTTCTAGACATGGCAGCCCTATTCGGCCTCTCCCCTCTTGGCGTGGAAGTGAACGCCGCTTTGGTCCCCCCTGAGGCTGAAGGGAGTTTTAAGGCCGCATGGCCTACGGTCGCCAAGCTTGCTGGGAGTAAGGCGAAGAACATGCTCAACTACTCCAGCTTCTACAGCAACTTCGGCGTGGAGGACAACGCCGATGATGATTCCATCGCTCCCTTGGGCGAGGTTGAGCATGCCGCGTTCTTGCTGTACTGGCTATGCAAGTTCGTGTTTTACACCCAAGCGAACAAAGTTACCCTGGAGTTCGCCCATTTGGTCGACTATCTCGCGCAGGGCGGAAGGCTAGCGCTCGGCCTATTCCTCCTTGATCATATCTACCGTATGCTTCACGACGTCGTCACGGATGGGATGAAGTCGAAGCACGGTGGTCCGCCATGGGCCTTCCAGTTCTGGCTACAAGCTTACTTCCTAGAGTTGAGGGGGGCGGTCAATATTGCCGACACCGAGCTGTTGGCCAACGCATTCGTCCGGGCCCCCAGGAAGCCTAACACCTTGACTTTCTGCTACAAATTTTTCTACGGCTTGATCGAGAGGACCGGGACGCAGTTCCGGGTGTGCCTTGCTCGGCCGTATCCTTTGTTCCTAGCGCACGACCTCTCCGTGATTCCTGACGGCGAAACGAAGAACGATTTGAGGGAGATCTAGGGCTCCTTCCTCGTCGCGCGCGACCTTCACTGCGGCCTGTCCAAGGCTGGGGCTGAGGTTTATCTGCCGAACTTCGTGGCATGGCAATTCGGCCTGATACAAACAGCACCGCTTCTCCCGTTGTCAATCAACCGGCTCTCGTCTTGAAGGGCTGACGTCGCCTAACAGCACGGCTTGGCTGGCATTTCCTTTCAACTTCAAAAAGGGATGACCTTCCTCACTCTGACGCCTTGGTTGCGTCGCAACGCGTATGACGAGGATGGAAGAGTCTGGTACGAGGAGTGCATCTCGGCCAGATTCATTCGGCCTGTTGAAGTGGCCGTGATGGGGGCTTTGAAGAATGCCGATTGGGACGCCCTCCTTCCCAAGGCTGGCAAGGGGAAGAAGGCCTCGACCGTGATTTGAATGTATGATTTGAATGTATGTTGTTCGCTTTATATTGGCCGCACCGTATTGAAGGTGGGAGCCCGACGGAAATAACGACGCTTGTAATGGTGAAACGGTCGGATTGCTCTGACTGTGCTGCTGTGATGAAGCAGCGGTCGCGTTGCTTGGGACAGGATGGGTCTGGACGGCCACGGTGTGAACTGGGCCAAGTTGCTAGACCGCGGAATGCGTGGGGCTGCTTTACCCCAGTGATACGGCCAAAGCATGGAGTGGGCCGTACGCTGTTTTTGGTGGGCAGGTCGGTCTGGGATTTATCCATGTTGGCTGGGATTACCCCTAGCTATTTGTCGGTGGTTGAGAATGCTGGCCGTAGCTTGACGCTTGGGTGCGGCCAGAGGTCCCGAGGCCGCTGCTCTCGCCGTAGGGCTCAAACCTCTCACGCTTTTGGCTTCTTTGTCTGGGTCTAGGAGGCGTCGCGGACGACGTTACCAGCATCCTCTCCTGAAAGCGCGTCCGTAACTCTGAGGAGAATCTGTCCATTGGGGCCATAAAAGATGTCTCTATCCTGTAGGCCTACTTAGCCATGAGATCCTCCACTACTGCTTGCTCTCCCATGGACTCGGCCGCACGATCCGTCGTTATTGGAACGTTGGCCGGGATTCTGACCGCGTGTTCGGTCTCGGTGATAGTGATTGGTGAGGTGGACTCAGGAGCTTCGGAAGTCATTTTGACTGTTTTGTTTTTGAGCTTTGTCTGTGCCCTAGTTTCCACCATGAGTTTTTGACAAGTGTCCCACTGGGCTTGCCAAAAGTGTTGGCTGCGCAAATCTCACGGCCTGGTGCTCCGGGCCGAGGGGATGTGCGTTAACACGTGGCGTCCTTTTTTTGGATGCGATGCGGTTGTGTGCAGGCGTGCCAGCACAGTCTACCGTGCATCGAGGTGGTGATGAGGTTTGGGTAGAAGATGGTTAAATGATACGCCTGTTTTGAGTTCGACTCCTAATCAAATGATTGTGGCTGAGAGAGTGAACTGATCTCGACCGTCAGGTTCACGGCCTGAGCTCCATGGTCGTTTAGTGGTGGTGTTGGTGGCGGGTTTTAGGCGGTGCTCCGGCGCATTGCTCAGAGAACGACGGTCGTATGATATATGGGGTGAATGGAAAATATAATTTGCTCCGTGGGAGGCTTTTGGTTTGGTGTTTGAACCCCTTGAATGTAGTCTTGAGCTTAGTATTTATAGGGGGAGTCCTGGAGGGACAATCGAGGCCGAAAAGACCTGCGTGGTGGAGCCTAATCGGGGTAAGTGGGTAGTCAAATCGTCATTTGGGATCGTGAAGCATGGTGGTGTGACCCCCATAGATCCTGGTAAATCTCGGCCACTGCCCTGATTGTGGGTTCTGCCCCCTTGACCGTGGGAACGCATTTAATGTCCTGGTCTGGTGGTTAGTGATCTGACCTCAAGTTGTAAGATTACTTGTGAGAATATTGGCGCCTAACCACTCTGATTTCCATTATCAAATCCTGACTTCAGTCACTTCCCCTCTCCCCTCGTGCATTAAATGCTTCTTGCGACTAGTGGACTTGTTGCGATAGTCAGAGGCATTACTTCATTAAATGGGGCGTGGGCTAAGGCCACGTGGTGATTTAACCACAGTATCTTCGGTCGTGTCCTTTACGGCCTTCGGCTTCAGCCCATAAAACCGCGGTCGCGAGGCCGAGAGGATTCTGCCTATGCAGCTTTTCTTTTGTTTTTAGGAAGGCGAAATGCCTAACGAACGTGGCCGTTTCAGTCCATGAGTAGGTGCTAGGGCCGAGAGGAGGTCCCTTCGGTCAGTTTATGACCGTGATTTATCAGGCACAAACAGAATATCTTCCAATTGGCATATATTAAGAACTATGGCACATCCCAAAACTTAAAAAAAATCAAATCCCATGGTCCAGAATCGAACTTTATCTCACCATATCCCTAACCTCACTAGCATACTTTTTGAATATGCTTATATTTCTTTTTTCGTACACATCACTAAGAACACAACCATCATACTATAGAAAACCAACAACAACAACAACAACAACTGATAGTTAAAACTCTAAAAATTAAAGAGAAAGAGGGAAGAATGAAATTGAGAAGAAAAAAACACAATATGCCTCTTACTTGAGTCTTGTGGCTTCTTAGGAGTGCGCTTCAATTGATCCAACAAAAAAAAAAAGTGGATGAAGAATGGAAGAGAATGAGAAGAGTGCTCTATGGCATGGGAAGGAGAAGAGTGCTTTGTGGCGTGTGAAGGAGAACACGCACAAGAAGAGGAGAGCGTGAAATCATATTTGGGTATTTTCGGAATTTTGTAATTTTCATTAAACTCAACACCTCCTCAAATCTGATTACAACATAATCAGAAATTGAAAGCATCTCATTAGTTGCTTCCCCTTATTGCTTTCTCCTACAACAATTTTTAACAATAAATGAATTTCTCATAGGTTACCAAATGAGCTGGGCTTCCTAAATTTTTTTAAAAATCACTTATCACCCAAATAAGCAATGCAAAACAGGTACTAAATAGACTCAGATGTCCTCGATACTAAAACCCATATAAACATAAAAAGCAAAAGCCTATAAGGCTCATATTAATAAAATTAAAAAATATGAAACAACATTAGCACATATAGATATATTTTTTCACAAATGGACATTTTTAGTAAGGGTTTGATTGATGATAGTGCATAAAGGTTTTCCTTTAGTTAATAGGGTAAATATTTCTAAATTTTCAGAACACATGTGAAACAATACAAAATACTTGATAAACCTGAATTTGAGCTTTATATTCCCTAGACTAAGCAAACTGACCATTTATGGTCCATTAATAATGTAACAATTACCTAGTAGAAAACTAAATACTGCAACTCAAATACAAATATGTTTATGGGTATTCTGATCGTGTGTGTATATGTACTTATAATTACCTCAAGATTTCATGTAATGCACATAATATCATGAAAATCATATTAGTATGGGGGTAAGGTAAGTGCAGAAAAGAGGGAGAGAGAAAAAATCTCCAATGCGCAATATCTGAACACCATGCTAATTTGACTATGTTATTAACAAAACTTGATTTGCACTTACCAAATATCTTTTTTTTTGTACAAGTGATAGTCTAAACTATAGGGATATTTCCAACTTCAGAGTAGACAACCTTTTTCACTCACATAAAGTTGCACCAATTGGTCGTTAAACAATCTTGATCTTTGGGTCTTTCATCAAAAGCTTGACTTTGAACATGAGCAAGCCAAGTTTGAACTGGCTACTATTTTGGTCCACAAATCTTGGCCGGCATGAAAATGATGCCCTACCAATCCTTTTATCTCTTCAATGATATGAATTAATCTCTCACAAGCTTGACTTCGAACAGTTTAATACTACTTCTCTAGGATTTTTAGGCACCTCAGACTCTCAAGCACAAAGATAGAATAAAGATGTCAAAGTACCTTCCTCCAGAAATCATAACCCAAATTCTTCTAAGGCTACCCATCAAATCTCTTCTTCAGTGCACCTCTATCTGCAAATCTTGGAACTCCCTAATTAAACACACTAGATTCATCAACAACCACCTTAACCTCAATTTAGACAAAACAAGCAATTCCCCTTTGCTCCTTCTCAGGCACTGCCCCAAGGACCCCACTAGAGAGCTCTATTCTCTACACTTAGAAAATGGTTCATTCCAAGAACACTCAAAGCCTGAGCTTCCAGTTCAGAGTCTCAATGAGTGTTTCCGAATCGTGGGTTCTTGCAACGGATTGATTCTCCTCTCGGATGATTACTTCACAGATTACAACATGTTTGTTCTATGGAACCCCTCCATTAGAAAGTTCATCACGCTTGCCAAGCCTCATGTCCCAAAATCTCCTCATTCTGTTTATGGCTTTGGCTTTGATTCTAAGAAAAATGATTACAAGATAGTAAGATTGGTGTATCTCCGCCAAAATGAAGGCCAAGCTTGCCCGAAAATCGAGCTTTATTCGCTGAACTCAGGGTCTTGGAAAAGCATTACATCAGCTGCTCCCAGTTATCAGATTGCTCAAAACTTTCGGGCTCAAGTTTTTGTCAATGGGGCTGTCCATTGGGTTGCGTCTTGTAAGAAAGGAAATTGTTTTCGCAATGTGGTTTTGTCCTTTGATATGAGTAATGAGACTTTCCAGGAGATTGAGCTGCCAGAAGACTTAGCTTGTGAGTTGCCAACTAAGTACATGCCCATTTCGGCTGCCGGCAAGTCTATTTGTGTAAAGCACTTCGATCAAAATAGACATACTATGTGGGTTATGAGAGAGTATGGGGTCGTGGAATCTTGGGAAAAGCAAGTCTCTATTGATGTACATGTCACTCCCAATTTCACTCCCAATTTCAGAGTACTGCAGGTTTTGGGGTGTAGGAAGAATAATGGTGAGTTTCTATTAGAAAGGTATGACCATGGAAGAAAAATTGGAGAGTTAGTCTCTCATGATCCCAAGAAGAACACAAATGAGTTTCTTGGAATTCACACAGATCCAGGGTATTCATGTATTGTATATTACATGGAAAGCCTAGTTTTACTCAATAAGACGAGCTGATCCATGCAGATTTCATGAAGGAGGAAGAAGAGGAGGAACCAAAAAATGTAGCAGCTTTGTTTTCATGTTCATTATATCTTGATATAATACTGTCATGCTTGCTTATTTGGATTATGTGTGTTGGTCTCTTGATGATGAGAGCGTTCTGCAAAAAAAATGGAAGTTCCTTTTTCTGTTGGATTTGGTTATAGTTTGGATGTTAGATGATGATCTTGGACTCAAAAATTTCCGGTTCATTCTTAAACCACAATCGCAAAGCACTATCAATCGCTTCACTGCTGCATAAATATCATTAACATGAAAAGGATCATGTATCCTATAAAAAATATTAACATGAAAGTGAAAGCAACTAAAACTACTAAAATATTAACATGTATCCTGTAAATGAAGGCATTACTACTAGAATGAAACATCAGAAATCCCCCATTTTCAAAGCTTGTCATCAGTTGATATAAGCCATAAGGCCACTCCTCATGACAACCTGGATCAATAGAAAATATTTTCGTCCAAGATTTTTCTTCACCACAATCTTTCATTACCCACACATACACAGGATACATAAAAGCAACTTCACATACACAAAGGCAGTCACCTAAAACTCCCATGCTAACCCGATGCTCTCTTTGCAGTTCAAAAGGAGGTGGTTGAACTGACTGAAAACTCCCAGTGTCCAAGTCAAAAGAATCTATATAAGGCGATGAAAGCCAATGGCAAAACCAAGAAAGTGCTCCTTTCAGATAGGTGGTGAATTCTACTTTATTTTTTTAAGAAGAGAGCAAAATCTAAACATTCCCATGAGCCTGTCCCAAGTGTGTATACCTCAGCGGGATCCAGTGTTCCTTGCTCAGAGATTCTTATCACCTTGTACTGGTTAGTCTTCGGACTGAAACCAAATCCACAATCAATAGATCCCTTTACATACTCAAGCTTAAAAATTCAGGAAGGTGTATAAACTCACCGGTTATTGGGTTGCACACAACAACAGGGTTATTGATGAATGGTTTAGACAAGCAAAGCAATCCGTTACACGAATTCACCACCTCATAATTGTGACCAGCTGGACATACCTTGATGCAAAGCTTCTTTTTTATGAGAAATCTGAAAGTGAGCTCAGAAAATTAGAACGAAAAGTAAATCTGGAATTTTCCTTTGATTTCATTCACTTGAATTAATAATAATTGCAGTAGTTTTCTTTTTATACAAGATAGAAACCCAGTTATGAATAATAACCTGTAACTAACATCTAACAACAGAGTTAAGCTAAACATGACATGTGTCATCATCTCAGCCTTCTTGATCTACATGTGATTTTCTGTGAGCAGGTTCAGAGTTGTTAGTATGAACTTTTATTGATGAATGAGATATACTTGTAACACACCCCCGCAGGCTAAAGGGTGCAACACACAACTTCAGATTGGATTTAAGAGACAGAAACCGATCAACAGAGAGAGGCTTGGTAAACAGATCAGCAACTTGAGCAACAGTAGTAATATGATGCAAGGTGATAGCGCGAGTAGAAACCAGTTCACCAATAAAATGAAAATCCACTTCCACATGCTTAGTTCGGGAGTGGAAAACAGGATTAACCGCGAGGGCCAAAGCACCAAGATTATCACAGTGAGTAGAAGGAGGAGCAGAGAGAAAAAATTGGAGATCACGCAAAACAAAACACATCCAAATAAGCTCAGCATAAGCAATAGCAAGAGCCCTGTATTCCGATTATGTGCTAGATCGAGCCAGTGCCTTGTTTCTTGGCACTCCAAGACACCAAATTAGGGCCAAAATAAACACAGAAACCACTAACAGAGCGTCGATCCACAGGGCACCCTGCCCAATCAGAATCTGTATAACACTGAAGAGCAAGAGAACCCTTAGTGAAAGACAAACCTTCAGTCATGGTGCCTTTAAGGTAGCGAAGAACCCACTTAGCAGCAACTAAATGTGGAGTCCTTGGAGATTGCATAAACTGACATAACTGACTAACAGAAAATGAGATGTCGGGCCTCATCCAACTAAGATATTGCAAAGCACCCACAAGAGCCCGAAATTCAGTGGGATTAGACAAAGGTTCACCAGAAGTAGCATCCAACCGAACAACAAAAGTAGGAGAGGAATATGGTTTAGCACCAACCATAGCAGTTTTCTGTAGTAAAATCAAATATGTATTTGGTCTGTGATAAGAAAAGACTTGAGGCATCTCTATGAGCTTCCAAGCCAAGAAAATAATGAAGAGCACCAAGATCCTTGACTGGAAATAAAGCACTGAGTTCACCAATCAGTTGCTTGCAAATGGCAGAAGAACTACTAGTTATCAGAAGATCATCCACATACACAAGAATAAAGGTCACAGTATCGGCAACTCGAACAAACAAAGAAGTATCAGATTTGCACGTGGTAAAACCAAGAGATAGCAAAGCTTGCAGTAATTCTTCATACCAGGCGCGGGGAGCCTACTTCAAAACATATAAGCTCTTTTCCAACTTGCAAACATGGAGGCTGGACCATGTAAACAGCCTCAGACAAGTGACCATGTAAAAATGCATTAGTAATATCCAATTGAGAAATACTCCAGTCAAACTGAACAGCAAGAGACAAAATAAGGCGAATAGTGGTAGGCTTAGCAACCGGACTAAAAGTTTCATTATAGTCCAAACCACTTTGTTGATGAAAACCCTTAGCAACAAGCCGGGCTTTAAACCTATCCATTGTACCATCAAACTTGTGTTTAACTCGGTACACCCACTTGCACCCCACCAAATTCATAGTAGGACAATAAGGAACCAACCTCCAAGTACCAGTTTGTTTAAGAGCAGAAAATTCAAGATTCATAGCCTCAATGCACCTTGGATCCTTGGCAGCTTGTTTATAGGTATTGGGTGTAGCTGGGATGGAAGAAATAGAAGTGGTAATAGTGGAGGGAAGAGGATGTGAGGTGGTAGATAGCATTTTAGGCTTGAATATACCACTTTTGGCCCAGGTTTGCATTGGATGAGTATTAATAGGGGGCTGTGGAGGTGAAGGTGAAGGTGAGAAGGAGGGGGAGGGGGAGGAGGAGGATGAGAAGTAGGAGGAGGAGGAGGAGGATCGGCAATATTAACACAAGCTGGAATTGAAGGAGAACTAGTAAAAGAGGAGGAAGGAAATGGGATGGTGGAAGAGGAAGAAGTTGTTTTTAAAGGAAAAACAGTTTCATGAAAACAAACAGGCCTAGAGATATAAATCTTATGAGTGATAGGATCGAGACAACGATAGCCCTTATGATTTAAGCTATAACCAAGAAAAACACAGGGTATACTTTTGAAGTCCAGTTTATGAATAGAATACGGTTGTCACCAAGGATAACAAAGACAACAAAAAACCTTAAGAAATGAAAAACCAGGGGAATGATGAAACAACTTTTGAAAAGACGACATGTGACCAAGATGAACAGAAGGTAATCTATTCAAAAGATAAATAGATGTAAGAAAGACATCAAACCAATAAACCAATGGAATGCCAGAATGAGCAATTAAAGTTCTGCCAAGTTCAACAAGAGACCGATATTTTCGTTCTGCCACACCGTTCTGCTCTGGTGTGTAAGGGCAGCTAAACTGATGGAGAATGCCATGTTTAGAAAGATATTGGGTAAACACAACACTTGTAAATTCACCCCCATCATCAGATCGAAAAATTTTGATTTTAGAACCAAGAAGGTTTTCAACTTAAGTCTCAAAGATAACAAACACAGAGGAAAATTCAGATTTTGTAGATAAAGGGTAAATCCATGTATATTTAGACCAATCATCAACAAAGATGGCATAGTATTTATAGCCAGATACAGAGACAGTGGGTGCTGGACCCCAAAGATCACAATGAACCACATACAGAGCTTGTTGAGATTTACAAGGAACTGATGCAAAAGAAAGCTTACTACTTTTGCCCAAATGACAATCATTACAGACAAAAGAGGTATCATTAGAAGATACACAAGGCAGATTATGTTGTTTAACAACATAATGGAAAATAGACTTGGATGGATGACCAAGTCTTCGATGCCAGATACATGAAGAAGCTTTCTGCATAACAAGAGCTTGATGTCCGACTTTATTGAAGAAAGGATTGAATTTGAATGGATAGAGACCATGTTTACTAGGACCATGGAAAAGCATCTTCCCCGAGAGTAGGTCCTTAACAAAGAATGCAAAAGGAGTAAATGTCACTGAACACAGATTGTCAAGAGTGAATTTGTGCACAGAGAGTAAATCATAAGCACTTTTGGGAACATGAAGCACATCATGAAACTTAAAATTACCAGTAGATGTTGGAAAATAGGTATGACCAATATTAGAAATTGACAAACCTTGGCCATCTCCAATGTGGATTTGTTCACCACCAGTGTAAGCAGAGTGAGTCTGCAGAGCACCAAGATCAAGAGTAACATGACTTGTAGCACCAGTATCAACAAGCCAGTCATTATTCTTCAAAGAAGTAGAGTGAACAGCAGCCATGGCAGCAAGGCGAGCAGTAGGAATTCGACCTTGATAAGAATGGTTCATCCTTTGATGACAATCAATGGCACTGTGACCCCATTTATCACAAATCTGACACTGAGTTTTGCCCAAGCTTGGAGAGACCACAGAGAAAGTACCAGAAGAACCACCAGATGATGAGCCACTAGAGAAACCGCCAGAATGACCACCAGGTCGAGGAGTGGGAAGAATACCACCAGAATTTGGGCAAAAAGCTAAACATGACATGTGTCATCATCTAAGCCTTCTTGATCTACATGTGATTTTCTGTGAGCAGGTTCAGAATTGTTAGTATGAACTTGTATTGATGGCTGAGATATACTTGTAACACATTTTAGTTCCAGATTTCCTATTGGCATCATTGTGGGTATTGAGTACTTCCTCAGCATTGTGCAATGGGATTTTATATTTGGCAAGATTCATATGGAACTGATACCCATTGCACTCATTAAAAAGAAAGTCAGAGGCATCATAACACGTACAGTTGTTGTGCTCGAAATGAAAATCAGAGCTATCTTCAGGCTGACCAGATAAAGGGTTCTTGACACACGAGTTGGATGAGAGGGCCCGACCAAAGGGTAGGACTCTGCTTGTGCAAAGTGCAGCTTAGCAAATTCATGGTCCGAAATTAGATCTTGCCAAGTCTTGCATAAACATTTGCCAATGAGAATGCTCCTAGTTGGTAGCTTTAGTAGAACAATGTAAAGAATAGACTTTGGAAGATCAAATATACAAGAACCCATCACTTGAAATCTGTTCCTCTTTGTTGCCTATTTCTATCGCATTATCTGTTGGCTTTCTTTGCCTGTTCATTGCAATTCTCTGGGTCTAAGAAATGGACAAAAAAAAAGAATGGATGAAAAGGAAACCATCCGTATTTATAGAACCCTGAAATCATATTGTTTCAGAATCCCACATCTTACTATTTAAATCGGACTGATAGAAGCCTATGACTTTAATTTCTTCTTAAGCATAATTACTGCTTAAAGAAACAATGATATGCAAAGCGACATAATATATGACCCAACGAAAAATGAGAATTTCAGTGTACCAAATGATCAAAACGAAGAACTAAATTACAACTGCGAAGATAGATACAGAGATAAAGTTTAACATCATAAAACAGCGAAAGAGGACTTGGAAGTGAGTGAGAGAATTACCTGCAGAACTGTAGCCTTACTTCAACTTTCAGAGTGACAGGGGCGGACGCACAGAGGGAAATTGGCAGCTTTACAGCTCACCTAATTTATTCACTAATACCCTTATTTTGAAACCCAATCACATATGCCGTTTATAAAAACTCCCTATTGACAGCTTATTGCCCATCTTTCACTTTTGTTTACTCTCTCAAATCCTCTTTCACAATTTCTCGATCTCACTCACTCAGCCCTCCTCTCATTTTTTTTCTCTCTCTCTCTCTCTCTTGCTTGCACCCATATCGGCGACAGTCACTGTCACCTCCTCAGAAACCCTAACCCACATCGGCGACGACGACTTTTCCAACTCCATCTCTCACTCTCTGTCACCTCTTTCAACCTACATGCTTAGAGATGGCATCTCAGGTAGACAGCTTGGCTTTTCTCCTACACATTTGGGTTTTCTTCTCCTTGTTTCAATTACATATATGGGTTTGGATTTTTGGTGCTTGATGTGAGTTCAAGTCCCTCCAAGTCAAATTTGGGTGAGATTAAATAGAAATTTGTGGAAACATAATTGTGGGTTTAATTTATCATTTTACTCTCTTTGTTTACAATTAATATTTTCAACTTGTGTAGAGAATGTTATTTCAGTGGGATTATACAAGAACTTTTTGAACCAAAATTTTGAGATTGTGCAACAAATATTTCTCTGTTTGTCTTAAGGAATATTATGCTTGAAGCTTGTCCAATCTACAATGATTTCGAATATTTTCTTTTGCTTATTGAATTTGATTACTGAGTTAGGTTTTTATTCTTACAAAAAACAATTGAAGAAACATAGTTATTTGGTTCAAGGATCTGAATTTGTTTGTTCTGTTTTGGGATGTGATTTTTGAATGAACTACATAAATTGATTATGTCTTGAGGTGGAGGATATCTCCGAAATTGACTATGGAGTTTGTAAGTTTTATGAGAATGCCAATATTTTAACATAAGTTTGATACTGTAAAGTTGGCATATGTTGGATCTTGATTTTTTATATTTTTCGTAATTCAATCTTGAATCTGTTTTTGGTGCAGTCTATAGCCCTCAAGGTTGGTATCATGCCAAGGTTGTGTTGGTGCCTTGAAAAGGGTTCTTGGAAAACTTGAAGGTTTGTTGACAGCTCTTGCATTTATCCAGTTCCATTGTCTTGCTATTCTTCTTCTTTGAGACTGTGCTTCTTCAATTGTTTGAACAATGCCAAATTCACTATTGATGATTTCCTTATTTGTATTTTTATTCGCCTGCCAAGACACACATTCACTTCACCCATGTTTATAATAATTTTTATATTGCAATTGAGTAGTACGAAATTGTGTGCATGAATGTGAACTTTAATTTTGCAATGGTACTATCTTGTGAAAGTTTGCTATATGAAGAATTGGGTCATTTAGAAAAGCCAACAATCTGTATAAAGATAGGATTCTTGAAGGTCGTCCTTTACTGGAGAAATCATAGATAGATTTCTCAGAGGTATATATAACTCAGCAAACTTCAAGCTCAGCTCTTAAATGATGTATATCATAATTTATTTTTCTTTCTTCTATTAAAAAATGTATATCATATTGCAGTTTTACATTTATCCACTCTATTTGTTATAGTGCATGTAAATGTATGTGTATGATACTTGTAGTGCCTGTAAATGTGTATGATACTTGTAGTGCCTATAAATATGTATGAACTTGTTTTGGTATTGGTTTCTGAATCTAGTATTGGTTTCTAAATTTGTTTTAGTATTGGTTTATGTTATGAATTTTGGAATTGGTTTCTGTTTTGAAATTGGTTTCAGCTGTGATTGAAAATATTATGTTTTTGTTTCCATTGTGATTGAATGGTTTGCTTCTAATATGCATTTTTGATCTATTTTATACAAATGGAAGATTGTCTTGTTTCAAGTGGCAGCATTCTCTTGGGGAGGAAATTGCTAACTTTCAGCTTAAATTCGGGTTCTAAGAGGAAATGTCGTCGAATTTTGCTAATGTGTTCAAATTCCCAACCAAGAGGAGATGTAAATTTATTTATTTTTGCCACTTTCTTATGTATATCTTAAGATGTAACGAGATAACATTGTTAGTTCATCAATTTATGAAGGTCAAGTTAGAAGGAAATTTGTCAATGTCTAGTTTCCATGGTTTTATCGTTCCCTTTGCAAAGAAGAAAAAAAAAAATACAAATGTAACCAAATCAATGATTTAATTGGCAAATGCCATGACAGATATGTATTGCACATGTACAGCCCTTTATTGCTTGTGTATTGCCCCTGTATATCTTTTTTTTTTTAAAGTCTGTTGGAATAAATTTATAACGGGATTATGAAGTTTTTGTATTTCATTGTATAGCCTTTTATTGCGTGCGTATTGCTACTATATTGCCCCTGTATATCTTCTTTTTTTCAAGTCTGTGTTGGAATAAATTTATAGTTGGAGTATGGAGTTTGTGTATTGTCTTTGTATAGCATTTTATTGCTTATATATTGCTATTGTATAGCTTTTTATTGCTTGTGTATTGCTATTGTATTGCCCCCATATATCTTTTTTTTTCAAGTCTATGTTGGGATAAATTTATAGAGGAGTATGTGTATTGCCATTGTATAGCCCTTTATTGCTTGTATATTGCTAGTGTATTGCCCTCGTATATCTTTTTTTTTTTTTTTTTTTTCAAGTCTATATTGCATATGAAGGTGGGGATGAGGATGGGAATGACATACCCATCCCCGATTCGACCCATTGAATCAGAAAATTTGAATACACAATATACGCCCAAAAATGACAGATGTTAACAACAATGTAGCACATAGAATACACAAATACATACCAAATTATGAAAATCTAACATAATTCACAATCCACAAAACACCAAACCTAATACAAATACAATTCAAATTCACACTCCATAACAGACCAACACAATTTATAATGTATGTCCAACATTAGGTAGTGGAACATTGTTTTTACATGTGCTTTTATTGTGGCTTGTGCCAATGCACCTTGAGCATTTTCTCCTTATGATATCCTCTCCTTGCAAGGGAATCCTTAACTTCTTTCGTCGACCTGGCATGACCTTTGCATTGGGAGGACGCACAACTCTACTTTAGACATCTTCAAGAATAACCCACAACTCTTGAGGCTGTACCAGGTATATGGTATCTGAATAAGCATTCAACCATGTATTTCGAGTGTAATAAAGAGAAGCCATGGAGTATATATTTAGTTTCAAGAAACGGCAAACTACAACTACATGCTTGCAAGGTAGTTGCTCAAGCTGAAACTTCCTACAACTGCAAGTGTTATTCGTCAAATGTACGTGGCCGTCCATATCACCGTCTACGACATTATACTCTACATGATTCAGTTTCACGACATTCATCCTTGAAGCACATTCCAACTTGCGTCTCAACTTCTTCTCGCCAAAGTTAGGGCACAATGTTGATGTACATTTCAAAGCAAAATCACGACGTTTACTAAACCATTTCACAAGCAAATTGATGATTTCATCAATCAAATGCACCACTGGTAGCATCCTTGCGAACCGAAGGACTAAGTTGATTGACTCCACAATATTTGTTGTCATTACATTGTATCAACGTCCATCCATGTGAGCTCTAGACCACTTGTGTAATCCTACACTTTCAAGATATTGAGCAACCTCATCATTTCCCTTGATCTTGCGAAAATGACGATAAAATTCAGCGATGCCATAAGATTTTGCAGCTTTTTCAAAGTATAGCAATAATTTATCACTTTTTTCAATTTGAAAGTGCGTTTCATGTTCCCCTTCATATGGTAAAAGCATATGCCATATTGCGCCTTTGGAAAAATGTTGTGCCACACATTCTCTATGCTAATATTCCAATCATAAATAATCACAAGATTTGGACACTCACCAATGACTTCATGAAGCTTACTGAAAAACCAATGTCATGATGCATCCATCTCTAAATCCCCAATTCCAAAAGCAAAAGGATATATATTTTGATTTCCATGAAATGCATTGGCAACAAAAAGGACACCCTTATACTTACATTTTAAATGTGTGGTATCCATAGCAATGACTGGCCGCATCAAAGATTGAAACCCTCTAATACATGCCCTAACAACCATAAAAAAATTCAAAAAGTGATTGTTCTCATTGGTGTGGATGTATGTCCTTGTGCTGGAATTCACACGCTCTAATTCATGACAATAAGCTGGAAGAAGAGAATATGCCTCCTCTACTGAACCTCTAGTGGACATTAGAGCTAACTCCCTCGATCTCCATTTGCAATAATTAATGGTGACACCAAAGTTTTGTTTCACATCTCTGATTATATCACTTGGTGTGTATATTGTGCGAGAATCTTTCAACTTCAGCTTCACTGCATTACCAACGAGTTTAGCACTTGCGTGACGATGCTTGTCATGTATAAAACTCATATCACATTCATGAACCGGATTATATTTCACAATCATGAAGTTCTTTTCTCCATAACTAGATGCACGAAGCCACCATGGGCATGGGCCTTTAGAACAAACCACAACCAATCGACTCTTGCAAGACTGCTTCACCTTAAATTCAAAGTGACCTCTCATAGCCGCCAACTGTAACTTGTTGGACAGGGCTTCCGTACTAGAGAAAATTTTCCCAACTTCCAATTTTGGATCCCAATTATTCTATGACTACACACTTTCAATGTCTTCTTCTTCATCATTTACAATACCCAAATTGTGCATGTTTGGTTCACCCATTTGCCTCAAATTATGTTGAATAGAAAGTTCAGACGTTGTTCCAAAACCAACCACACCCACTTGTGAAAATGTCTCCAAATTGGCCAAAATAGGATGGGCTGAGTGCATTTGCAAGCCATTCATTTCCATACCATTATCACCACTATGCATCCCCTCCACCCTTGTAAAATCAATCATGTCTAAATATTATGTTCCAAAATCACCATGTACATCACCATTGCTTTCAACTATGGCATTTGAAGAACAGGCCATCCGACTCATATCCGTCGTGATATGTATACGATCACCTACGACATTTGTCACTCCTCTATCTTCTATGCTCACCAGTAAAGGAGTCACTTTTGAAGGAATTACTTCACAAATGTACTTAATAAAAAATTTAACATCATCATTTCATTCGAGGATATTGAAACTGAGAACTTTAAACAAAGCTTGTCTTCCCTGTTGTCTCTATTAACAATCTTATGCACCCATTCCAAAAGCTCACCAAATGTGATGTTTCACGAAACTATTATGCCTTTTGAGTCATCCCCTTCATATGTGCACATCTTCTTTGAGGTTACCCATTTGCCATTGTAGCAAACCAAAATTGCAATTGTGTCCATTTCTGACCATCATAAAATTTCCTTTTGTTAACACATGTAAGCTACCAATAAAAAATCTATCAACTAGTGTATAAACCATATAGATAAAACATCAATTAAACATTAATAACCAACAATTTTAAAACATCAGTATTATGCAAAGTGAAACAGTTCAGCTAGCATAGCTGTGTTTCAAGCTCCAACAAGGAAGGCATGTATTAAGAACTCTTAAAGTTAAATCCAACCCAAAGCCATTAACCTAGGGTATCCTATTACTAACTAACTACTTACAAATTGCCAAACCTTGACTATCCAATGTTGTTTCATATTGAATATCATCTAAAAGAGTGAATACATTACTTTTAAGGAGATCTGCAAGTCCAAGTCTCAATCACAAAACAATGTATACATCATTTCAAAGACAAATCATAAGCACAAAACAGTGTATCGAAGTTCAAGAGCTTAACAATCACAGGAAATATTTGGTAAATTTCATTCAATCACAGAAACAACAAGCCACAATAGAAACCCATTAATATATCATTGAGAGCGATCACCCAATAATCTCAATCAATCAAAAAAACCCAAAAATAAATAAATTAACAAAAACAAAACCAATATAAGAACTCACCACAGTGAAGATCGACAAGGAAGGTGTCGTCGCGTTGTGGTGGAAGTCGATAATGGAGGTGGCAAGTCAAGACTATGGCTTCATTGTGGAGGCCGATAATGGAGGTGGCGAGTCGCGCCTTGGCTAGGGTTCGGTCCAAATTTGGGGTTCAACTTTGAGGTTGAAATCAGCTCCTAGTTGGAAGATATAACTAAGATGAGATAGAGTTAGGGGAGATTCTATGGTTGAGGTGGATTTTGTGAGGTTTGGCAGAAGGAAGAAGAGGAAGAGGAAAAGGAAGAGGAAGAGCAACAATTGAGAAAAAAAAAACGAAGTGAAGGATGGGCAATAGGCTATCAATAAGGAGTTTTTATAAGGGGTCTTTGTGATTGAGTTTCAAAATAAGGATATTAGTGAATAAATTAGGTGAGCCAAGGGTAAAGTTGCCAATTTCCCAAAAAATAATAGCTCACGCGTGCGCTGAGCAAGGCATGCACTGTGCGCTGGCTTCTTGCTCCTCTGCTGGGCATTTCGTCGAGCACTTGGTGTGTGACCCTGCGCACCATAGGGTCGCACTAGAGTTTCACCACTACTTTTCCCGGCTGCCATAAGGTCGTCTAACTCCATTTGCCCCTCTGTGCATGGAAAATTGGCGGCTTTGCCCCCAGCGCAACTAATTTATTCAATAATATCCCCATTTTGAAATCTAATCACAAATACCCCCTATAAAAACTCTTGATAGTCTACTGCCCATCTGTCACTTTTTTTTCCTTCTCAGTCGTTGCTCTTCCTCTTCCTCTTCTCCCTAGTCTCTTTCTCTTCCTCTTCTTCAAACCTCATAGAAAATCCATCTCCACCATAGAATCTCGCTTAATTCAATTTTCACATAGTTATATCTTCAAACTAGTAGCTAATTTGAACCTTAAGGTTGAACCCCAAATTTAGAATCAAACCCTAGCCAAGGCATGACTCGCCACCTCCGTCGTCGGCCTCCAAAACGAAGCCATAATCGTGACTCTCCACTTTCGTCGTCAACTTCCACCACAAACCCACAACACCTTCATCTTCTATCTTCAATGTGGTGAGTTCTAATATTGGTTTTGCTTTTTTTTTTTTTTTTTTGGGTTTCTGTTATTGATTGAGATTATTGGGTGATTACTTTCACTATTTTGAATGAGACATTAGTGGGTTCTGTTGTGGTTTGTTTGTTGTTTCCGTGATTGAATTAAATTTACCAACTATTTCTTGTGGTTGTCAAGCTCTTGGACTTGGATACACTATTTTGTGCTTATGATTTGTCTCTGAAATCATGCATACATTGTTTTGTGATTACGGCTTGGACTTGCATACCTCCTTGAAAGTGGTGTATTCATTCTTTTGTGATTGTGATTTGTCTGTGAAATCACTTAGGTGATATATCAAATTAGGACTTCTGGCTTTTCTGAGTAACCTGTAAGAATACATATAAAACTCATAGATGCTCTTTGAAATAACAGTAACGTGGGTTTTAACCTTTGAAATCAGTAGCACCAGCAACAAATGCAAGATTCTCATTGTTTACTTCATTTGAATGTGATTGGAGAGTTTGTAAGTTTTATGAGAATGCCAATATTTTAACATACTTTTGATATTGTAAAGTTGGCATATGTTGGATCTTTATTTTCTCTATTGTTTTGGTGCAGTCTACAATCCTCAAGGTTGGTATCATGCCAAGGTTGAGTTGGTGCCATGAAAAGGGTTCTTGGAAAACTTGAAGGTTTGTTGATAACTCTTGCATTTATCTAGTTCCATTGTCTTGCTCTTCTTCTTCTCTGAGACTGTGCTTCTTTAACTGTTTGAACAATGCCAAATGCACTATTAATGATTTCCTTATTTGTATTTTTGTTCGCTTGCCAAGACACACATTCACTTCAGCCATGTTTATTACTTCTGAATTGCAATTGAGTGGTATGAAATTGTGTGCATGAATATGAACTTTAATTTTGCAATGGTACTGTCTTGTGAAATTTTGACATATGAAGAATTGGGTCATTTAGAAAAGCCAACAATCTATATGAATTTCGGTTTCTATTTTGAAATTGGTTTCAGTTGTGATTGAATGTTATGTTTTTGTTTCCACTATGATTGAATGATTTGCTTCTAATATGCATTTTTGATCCATTTTATACAGATGGAAGATTGTCTTGTTTCAAGTGGCTGCATTCTTTTGGGGAAGAAATTGCTAACTTTCAGCTTAAATTCGAGTCTAACAGGACATGTCTTGGAATTTTTCTTATAGATATAAATTGTGTTAAAATTCCAGACCAAGAGGAGATGTAAATTTTTTGTTTTTTGCCACTTTCTTATGTATATCTTAAGATGTAATGAGATAACATTGTTAATTCATCAATTTATGAAAGTCAAGTTAGAAGGAAATTTGTCAATCTCCAGTTTCCATGGTTTTATCATTCCCCTTGCAAAGAAGAAAAAAATACAAATGTAACAAAATCAATGATTTAATTGGCAAATGCCATGACTGATATGTATTGCACATGTATAGCCATTTGTTGCTTGTGTATTGCCCCGTATATCTTTTTTTTTAAGTATGTTGGAATAAATTTA